TCAAAGAGGGCAGGACCTGCCTGGTTTCTTCCTCATCACTTTGTTCAAGCGTCAAGCACAGTGCCTGGTGCTTAACAGGGGCCTGTGAAATGTTGGTTGAACAAATGCCAACGAACTTCTTTTCCTATCTAATAGGAACCTGTAGAGGGCAGCCTTCCTCCACTGAGCGGCTCTAATGCAGCAGGTCAAGCTGGGAAGGTGGATGGGCGACGGGCGGGTGGGTGGTGGGTGGTGTGCCTTCTGGAAGCAGGGGCAGCACTGCAGAGGAGGGGAAAGCTGCAGCCTCACGCTTGCATGCAGAGTGCGACAGAGGCCAAGAGCTCAAGAGGCACAGCAGACTCTGATTTCTTCCCGGATCCTTTAAAAATATTGCCTAATAGTTAACAAAACCAGGAGTCGTTATGAGCCAGGCCCCTCTGCACATACCACCTGCTGTCCCCCGAACAGCTGCTCTGTGAACTGTGTAATAGCAGGCGAGGCAAGCGAAGCCCAGAGACAAACGGGTCAACAGTCTTGATCGCATTGTCCCACCATTTTCTCATTTAGAAACTATGCTGAGCTGTCACTGTCACTGTTGCTGTGTCTCTGTGGGGAAACACAATCTCCAAGGAGAAAGTCTCACAGGCGTCCCTGCCAGGAAGGGGAGTGTTGGTCCTGGAGTGGCCTGCAGTCTCTGCTTCTTCCCCAGTACTGTGCATCTTCCATTGTGCATAAACCCTCTCTGGTTCTGCCCTGCTGGAATTCACACTCTCGGCCGAGCTGTCCCTCCCTAGCTGTGCTTACACTTTGGTATTTTCTTTTTTCCTTCATTTGAAGTAGCACAACAGTTCATCGAGTCCTCTTTACCAGAGCTGAAGCCATTTTACAGAAATAAATGTGCCTAATAACTCACACATGTCCTCCATACACGTTGAAGCTTAGGAAAAAAAATTACAAGCAGGCTGGAAAAAATTCTTCTTTAGTATCACATTTCCCACCACACTTTTTTTGTGTTGCTGAAGGTTGAACCCAGGGCACTCTACCCTTGAGTACACCCCCAGCCCTTTCAAATTGTTTTACTTTTTTGAGACAGGGTCTTACTAAGCTGCCCGAGCTGAGCCTGTACTTGTGTCCTCCTTCCTCAGCCTCCCAAAGTGCTAGGAGTACAGGCCTGCACTTCTGTGCTTGGCTACTGATGCGCACTGAACTGAAATGGTTGTGTCAGTGCCTGAGGGGCAGTTGGTGTGCAGTGGACCCTTTGACCCTGCACTGAATGTCCCCAGGCCCCCAAGGTCCCCAGATTCTCCGATCTGCTTCTGCCCACTGTCCTGGCTCCCTCCCACTGCCCGTGCTGCTGGCTTTGGGTGCCATCCTCTAGGGGAGCTGTTCTCTGACCTTCATCTGTTGAAGGCTTGTGGCTGAGGCCCAAGGGGTTGTGCGCAAAGGAAAGATCTGGGACTTTTTCGAGTCAAGTTCCACAGCTTCAGTGGCTGAGTGCTCTGCCTTAGTGGGTGTGGCTTCTTAGGCACAAGTGTAAGAAACATGGACAGATGTTTGGGGTCTGACAGACGTCATTTTAATTCTCAGGCCCACATGAGCGATGTGACTTCCAGCGAGCACCTTGACCTCTCTAGCCAACATGTTCTTCATCTGAAAATACGTTGCATAATGTATAGTAGCAGCATTTGCTTTGAGGAGAACCAGCTTGCTCTCTTCTCGAGCCACACTTCCTCCAGAAGTTTCCACAGCCCTGTGCACTGCCCGTGCCCCCATCAGAAGATGGAAAGCCCTGATGTGCACTGGCTCCGGGCCTTGGTTCCCTGACTTCCTGCATGGTCCTCTGCTTACTTATCTGGCTGGCTGTGGGAGACCAGGGGGGACTCTGAGGCCTGAAGGGCAGCAGAGACACGAGACAGCGTGTTCTTGGAGACTTGAGGGAGGGCTGGCTGAAAACACCCAGCACCAGAGTGAGCCACGAACAAACTTCTATGGCGGGAAGCCGCGGAGATACAGGAGTTGGTGTGACAGCGTGGCCTGCACGTTTTGAATGGGACACAATGCTGGAAACTTGACCTGCTGGTGCAGAGGCTCACAGTGTCATGCTAGCCATGACAGTGCCATTCTAAGCACGTGACACACACACCAACTCACCGTCGTTACAGCCCTTTGACGAGGAGGCTGTGAGCCCCACGCTGCGCACGAGGACGCAGACAAGCTGAATTCTGCTCGGGGTCACACACTTTGTGGGGGCCAACATTCTCGGAGGCAGGATGGGTCCAAAGCCCTCACCCCGAACCTCTGTGTGTTCTGCCTGCCACTCTCAGAATGACTACCCGCCGGCATCTGGTGGGTTTCAGGTTATTAGTTTTGAGCAATTTGAGAAGCAGAGCTGAGTAATAACTGATGTGTTGAGCAATTAAAAAAAACCCTGAATCTATTCTAATAGTGTATCAGATCTTTTTTTGCATGAATTCTCTCAGACTCTCAAGAACAGATAATTTCCACACTAACCAATGCATGTACCCTCAGGTACAGTATGCACAGCTGTCACCTGTGTGCAAAGGTGTGCTTATCTGTGCAGCGGATATGTGTGTGTGTGTGTGTGTGTGTGTGTGTGCGCGCTAGGTGTGTCTATGCAGTGCACGTGTGTGATGTGCATACACATGTTCACATGTGTGTAGTTGCTACTGCACAACACGTGTGTGCATGAGAAGCACGTGTGTAGTCTGTGGGGTATGTTTCCTGTGTGTGTGGTGTGTGTACATACATCTGTGGGCACTGAGCAGGAATGCGCACACCACAAACATAGAAACATACATATCACACCATGCGGTCAGCACAGACACATTCACACACACTAACGTGCAAATGCTTAGACCCTAAGCAAAGGGGTTGGGACAGGCAGGGTAAGAGCTAAGGCGGGACAATGTCACTGCTCCCACAGTCCCACAGAGGGGAGGGTACCGCACAAGGGGCTTCTCTGTTGTTTGGTTATCAGCTGTGGCCCACACCGGCGGTTGGGGCCTGGATTCCCATCGAGGGACTCCTGTTCCTATGTAGAGACCCTAACCCACAGTGGGGTGGGGTGTTAGAGGTGGGGCCTGGGACGATGGTTCAGTCATGAGAACAGAGCCCTCTTTGTTGGGCTCCATGGCCTTATAAGTGACCCAGGAGAGCTCCTTCACCTTTTACCACATGAGGATACATCAAGCCGACGGCTACCTAGGAATTCTCAGCAGACACGGACTCTCCCAGTGCCTTAACCTGGGACTTGCCCGCCCCCAGCACTGTGAGAAGTAGATTTCTGCTGTTTATCAGCCCTGGTCTGTGGCGCTCTGTGAAGACGGCCCACACGAGAAGAATTGGGTCTACTCCGTGGAGTGGACAGCAGACGTTTGTCCACCAGCCAGTTCCGTCGGTTCACTGGCCTGCATCTCGTTCTCTGGGGCCACCGTCACGCCCACATGACAGCCCCCTGATATCTGCAGGCAGCTGCTAGACTTTGGGGGGATCCTGCAGTGGCCTGGGCAGCTCCAAGGCCAGGCCGGGGATGTGGATGCTTCCAAGAGACACTGAGCACCTGGCGCAGCAGTGAGGTGGCGGCAGGAGCCTCCGCCCGGAAGGAGGCTGCTGGCTTCCCAGTCTTACTGTTTGGGGCCATCCGCAGGAGTCCGACGATGCTGTTCTCGCCACTGTAAAAGCAAGAGCGGAACGTGAAAGCCTCTCAGCCATCACTGTGTTACTGACAAGCTCTGCATAGGAAAGGAAATTGTAACCACATGAAATATTTATGCTCCACATTGCGGTGCTGCTGCTGACGCGAGAGCACGCTGTTTTTGTTTGCTTGGAGTTTTCTTTTTCCAAAGTGGATTACAAGATGCCCTCCAGTGAGGAAACTGCTCACGGCTGTGCCCCACTCCCAGGCCACCATCTGGAAGGAGGGTGCTGCCATGATCAGAGGACGATAGGGCCCTGGGAGCCATCGGGCAGGCGGGGCCCCCTGGTCTAGGGCACGGGCCCGGCTGGGAGCAGGACACCTGCCCGCCTCCAAAGGGACAGCTGAAGCCTCTCAGTGGCTTCTCCCTGCCAGGTAAATGTTATTTTTCCAGATAGAAAGTGGTCCCATAATTATTCCTTTTTCCTTTTTTCTCCCTTTTAAACTACAGCCACCTAATATCTTCTGGAAACTTGGGTTTAAGGAGTCCCTGGTGGAGGATGCTTCCTACATTCAGGTTTGAAGAAGTCCCCCTCCCCTCGGGCCCGTGCATTCACCTCCACCAGTCTGTAGGCCCCGTGGGGGGGGCGTGGAAGCAGGGCTCACCCCTGTCACCTGCTCTGATTGTCCCCACCTCCAAGTGGTGGCCCTCCGCACATAACCTTTTCATCATCACAAGAACCCTGTGGGTCTGATCAGCCTCACCTTTTCTCCCCCAGACACCTCGGATTTCCAGTTGTGTAAACAGCTCTATTGCATTCTAGACTTTTGTTTTCGAGCCCTAGGGGTGGACCCCAGGACCTCATGGGTGCTACACAAATGCTCTACCACCGAGCTACACTCCCAGCCCCACACTGAAGTCTTATAAAAATTCTGGTTGTGTGTATTAAAACACCAGTCTTTTCTAGAGCATGCTTTCAATGTGGGATACTCTTTTGGGCAACAGGGATTTTAACTTCTCAGTTCCTGGGGGGGCCAAGTTTTACATAGAAGGCCTGACAGCGTCTTGTGTCCACACTGCCATGTGCGATGTCCTCCACACACCCAACACAAGTTTACCGAACACTTACTATGTACCACAAGCAGCATGAAGGGTCGCGCTTCATTCTAAATGGTAACACTGAGGTCGGGGAGGCCTGACCCCCGCCAACAGACCCGCATGGGCTGGTGAGTGGCAGGCAGAACTTTTACCTGAGTCTGTCCTCACGAGTCACTCTGTGTCCTGGCAAAAGCCACCATCACCTGCCACTTCGGGAGCCCGGGCCTGGCTTACAAAGTGCAAGAAGATCCAGACTTGTTTGTGACTTTTCAGGACATTTTATTATAAAGAGATCTGAGAGAAGCACTGGGCACCAAGACGGACAATTGCTGGGCCAGAAAACAGCTGCGAATAATGTCAAGAACCAAACCCCAAACCACGCACACATTAGATAAACTGCAACTCTGTTCTCAAGTTTTCTTCATAAATAGACGAAAATCATTGTTGGCAATTTTAAATAGATGGACACACACAGGGTTTAAAAAAATAATAAAGAGCAATGCCTCTGAGTGTGGCTGTAAACTGCCCGGTTCTCGCTGCGCAGATGAAGAAGCGGTTTGTCGGCTGCTTGTGCACATGTCTCCCTTAAGATAAAACTTAAAAAAATGTGCTAAGGGTCATATAAAATGCTTTTTACCTTAAAGGAAACTACTCCCCCCCACACACAAAATAATCTCACAGATGTCTTCGGCACAGTCCTAAAACACTTAGTCGACTATGTACACGGCACCCGCAGTTTGTAGATTTCGGAATCTCGTGGGCACACTGCAAAACCGTATTTGCACACCTGTGGCTGGGCTGGTGCCTGGCCAAGCAGCTGGGGCAGGTTTCTGTCGGCAAACGACCCCTGCAGGGCTCACTGAGCGGGGGCCCAACATCCAGACAGAGGGTGTTGTGTGCAGGCGAGGAGCAGGGTCCACAGCTACCCTGGAGCAAGCAGGTGAGCGGGCAGAGGATTCCTGCAGGTTCTTTGGGCTGGCGGCGGGCGGTGGGCTGCGTCTGCGGAGTCTGGTGGGAAGTTGAGGCAGAGACTCAGCCCTGGGCCGTTGATGTGTCGCTACTCTCCTGGCTGGTCACCCTGCCTTCTGTCATGGACTCTCTCCTGCGGTCAGCCCTTCAGGCTCTCAGCAGCGCCCGTCCAGCAAGCCTCGGGGAGCAGCGGGGAGGTGGATTAGGTGAGGTAGAGCGATTTGTCCCTGGGGAGCAGGCTGTGGGAGAGAGGAGGGTGTCAGAGCCTCGGGAGCCCCTGGGGCCGGGACAGTGGCCCTTCAGCCCTCGCCTGTGGGCGGGATGAGGGACTGTGGCCCAGGCATCCTGACTGTGCCCTGAGCAGAACCACACATCCCTCTGGAACTGGAACCTGGGGAAGGACAGCTGTGTCTGTCTGTCCCCCATCAGAGCCCATTCCAACCCCACTGCTGTGAACCACGTCAGTTTTCCTTGCTCGTTTCACGTAGAATCTCAGGCAGGCAGAACGGTTTCTGCTTTTGAATGCGGACGGCTATGGCCCGACACCCATGCTGGGTGCTCAGGACATCCTGGGATGTCCTCAGAGGTGTGCCCCTCCCTGTGCCCCAACCCCGGGAAGGGAAAGTGTGGTAAAGAAAGGGAGGGGCTGCACCTGCTTGGGTTCTGGGGAGGGGTCCTGGCGAGCTGACCCCTGTCTGCCCACATACTTTCCCCAGGCATGTTCTAATGGGGTGCTTGTGGGTACCCTTAGGGCCTAGGAGCACTGGCGTGGTATGATAGTGAAGATCCTATATGCTAGAAGGCTGATGGCCAGGGCCAGGAGCAGCCACTGTCCACTCAGTATTACCGTGCCACCTGGGGGGTCGGCTGTCCCCAGATAGGGTCATGGGCGTGTTCTCACCAAAGTTAGGGGGGCAAGGAAAAGAGTGGGGATGCCTCCTCCCTACTGTTCCTCTGCTGCTGCCGCCTGAAAGCAAGGGTTATTCTGCTTTGGAGTTGGCATAGCCCGGGAGACTGGAAGAGGTGCAGTTAGTGTGGGCGGACCGGCAAGGAGCCACGTGACACTGGATTCTGGGTGTAGAGAGGATGCTGGGATGCTGCGGGTGATGGACCCTTCTAGGGTGTGGTTCCTTGGGTTAGACAGTTGGCCCTTCTCGTAGGATGCCTCGCCTTCTGTCCTGTGCAAGCAGCTGTGTCCCTAGAGAAATGTCCGTGGCTGCCTGGGAGCTGCCCTGACAAAGGGGCGGGGGAAGCCCATGGCCAGCGGCTGACTGTCCCAGGCCTGTGAAAAGCCAGCTCTCGACCTCCGTGTGGGACCCACTCTGGCCAGCTTTCAGCTTCAGGGTCCGGACCCCTGGGTGGGGGATCAGGCAGGGTGAGTCTCCAGCTGAGCTCATACCCTAGCCCACTCTTTCACGCCCTGTCCCGCCACCCTCATCCCCTTTTCCGGCAAGCCGCCCCCCCACCCCGCATTACTGAGGGCAACCTAACCCTTGCTGCCTCAGCCTCCACTTCTAGGAAAACTGGCCTGAGACCTAGGACCTATGTGAACGTCGCAGGGAAACATTTGTGAGAAAACAGGAGGCAAGGAGAAAAAAGCAAGAATGACGACTAGCCTCGGTTTCCCAAGCAGGCTGTGCACCAGGAGTCTGCGGCCTCCCAGGACCCTGCTTGGCTCTGCGCCACCCCCTGCAGATGTTCGGGCTCCTCCCATCCCCTCCCATCCCTCTCTCCGCCCCCTGTGAGGACTCAGCGGGGCGGGGACTGACCTGCAAGTGCTGACGCCACACTCCCCGCTGGGGTAGCTGCCGTCCCAGTCCCCACTGCCCGCAGGGTTGGATGGGCCAGGTGAGCGTGACCCTGAGCCACTGGGGAACTCAGAGATGTGGGGGAAATCCTGCAAAAGTAGGGGGCCGGTGAGTGGAGGAGGGACCAGGCGGCCTGCCTAGGGGGTCCCCCTCCGTGCCACACTTCCTCAGGGCCACACAGAGTCTCCACTCTGCCTCCCAGGCTTCCTCCTCCTTTGTACAGAAATGTAACCTGAGCTGGGAGATGTTGCCCTAGGTTCCCTCCCCAGCACTGCAAAAACAAAAAGAATTTCAGCCAGCTAAATTTCATCTTAGCCAAATCACGGACTGGCTTTGTTTTCAGAGTCTCTCTTTCCTGGGCCACAACTTGCCAATGTGTAAAATGGGGTTCTTCGGCTGAATACACCCTGGAAAAGCCTCTGGGGAACAGTCACTCGGGGTGAGGTCTCGAAGGTTTGGGGAGGGCCGGACACCAACGCAGGGAGGCTGAAGTAGACAGAAGGACAGGAGGGCCTGGAATATTCTAACTCTACCTGGCAACTCTTCGACTACTGACTACGGCCAGTACTTCACAGGTAAGATGTACCAGACCCACTTCCGAGATGTGGAAACTGATGCTCAGGGAGGTTCTATGCTATGGATGAGTGCAGGGCCAGTACTGAAACCGCAGCCAGCTTCCCTGTCCTTGGAGGTCACAGAAGGCGATCTCCACTCCGCCCCACTTACCTGTGGGCCTGGAGGCGAGGGGCTCATCGCCAGCTGCACCTGGAGTGCCATGGGGGCGGGCAGGACAGGAGGCTGGGGGGCCGGGGACATACTGACAGGTGAGCTGAGGAGGGCGCCCTGTGCATGAGGGGGCAGTGGCAGCTGCTGGTGCAGCGAGGGGCTGATGGGGACATACTGACAGGTGAGCTGAGGAGGGCGCCCTGTGCATGAGGGGGCAGTGGCAGCTGCTGGTGCAGCGAGGGGCTGAGGGGGAAGGAGGGCGGTGGCGGTGAGGACGCGCTGAGGCCTGACAGCAGCGACTTGGAGCCCAGCGTCCGGGCGAGGCTGGCGGGGGAGGCCCCGCTGCGGAAGGCCTGCAGGTCAGAGGGCGTCAGGAAGGAGGCCAGGCCGGGCATGGCGTACATGGGCTGCTTGGGCGGGAGCATTTTGGCTGGCGGATTCACCTGAGTGCTCTTGGTCTCGCCTTGGTCCGGGGGGCTCTGGAGGGAGATGGAAACCAGTCACTCTGGAGAAAGGGGATCAGCAGACTCCGGCTGTGACCCCAGGTCGGTTTGTACCCCGCTGCCATGGTCCCCAGCTGCTCCCTGGACCCCCGGGGAGAGCTGTGGGCTATGCAAAGATGACCACACAGGGTCCTTAGAGCTCCTGGCTCTGACCAGCCAATCAGCCCGCCTGGGAGTCCCATGGCCCTCGGCCTATCGGGGAAGCCAGCACCAGCAGCCAGGCTGCTCTCTATGCTACTGCCCAGCCTCTGCAACCCTGTGTGTAACTGTGGGCCTTTACGTTACCTGGCACTTTATGGCCCAATTCAGGTGCCACCTCCTCTGTCACAGCTTCTAGACAACCCCCTTGGACCACAGTTAACAGTCACCCCTAGTTCCTGCATTGCAGGTGTAGATGGAAGGAAAGATGGTGTGGTCAGCAGTGAAGGATGGCAAAACTGGGGTTGAATCCTTACAACCGCTTAACCACATTTTCAGGCAAGTTGCCGAACCCCCATAAGCGCTAGGTTCTTGCTGGAAGAATTTAGCGAAGCGAGATGCACATTAAGTGCCCAGCACGGGCCTGGCACACGCAGGTGCACTGCAACTGTGACCTTTCTAGACCTGTGGTGCTGGCTGCTCCGGGGCCTCAGCTCTTGCTCCATCTCCCAAGGGGTCATTGTACTGGGGCGTCGCCCAGGGATTCTGTTACCTTAGAGACGAGGCTAGCCCTGTAGGCTGCCAGAGCTTTCAGATACTCCTTCTTTGCCGCTTCGGTCTTCCTCTTGTAGGCCTGAAAAATCCAAGACACTGCAACACTGGGGAGAAGGTCACAGTGGAGTCATGGTGCAGAGCCTGGGCGAGAAGGCGCAGATTCTAGGCTCCACTCGCATGAGGGTGGTGGGACGGGGAGCTGGGCCGGTCAGCCACTGACCCCTCTCTGGGAGTGCCGCACAGGGAGGGAAGAGGCCAGGCTACGCTCCAGTTCCTCAGCCGCGCTGCTGTGCACGCTCGAGCAGCCCCCTTCGTCTTTCTGGGCTGCCCAGTCGCATCAGCACAAAGACGAGGTCTTTCAAGGCCCCTCTTCTGACCCAGCACAGTGAAGACGTCGTGCTGCACCGTCTTGCCCTTGGGCATACGCCCTACGTGTTGAAAGTATCTCCATCTGGATTCCCGTTTGCTAAGACTGTTGTGAGGGATTTTAGCCTGCGTTTGTACGCGGATGTAGGAATGGCCCTGTCCCCTCGGCTCCCACTCCCTCTTTTCGTTCATGCCTTTGGGTAGAGCCCTCCCCCAATGCCTTGGGGCTTGGCCTTGAGTCTTGCTTTGGCCAATAGGACAAGAACGAGTGTGCTGCAGGCAGGGGCCCGAAAGTGCTTACACACGGGGTTGCCTCGTGCTGTGCTTGAAACTCTGAGTTGCCGCGTGAACGAGCCTGGCCGGTGCACCGGGGGATGAGACACACACGGCCCACTTTGCTCCCAGCTCCAGCTGACGGCCGTGCAACTCCTAAACGGAGTGGCCCCCTGCACTGAGCTGACTGCAGGCTGTGGGTGAATCCCGCCAAGAGCAGCGGCAAAAGAATCTGGTTGCTCCCAGCACATCCCGAGGGCGGTCAGCATCACAGTTTGGATAACTGGTTGCTGCTTGAAGTCATTAGGTTTTGAGATTGCTCGGTACCCACTCAAAACGGTACGGGTAGCGTCAGTGGGTCTTAGTGACGGGTAAAGGCTTGTGCAAGGTGGCTTCCCTTTCCTAAGTTCTGTAACTGTCTGCTGTCCGATGATTTGGAGAAACTTTCCCATCAATCGGGAGGCTCTAAACTTGATGGGTGAAATGGGCCTTTTTTTGGGTTTCGTTCTTCCCTGTAATTTTCTCAACACCGTCACCTTCAGCTGTTGGTATATTATTAGTAAACTGGGAACATAAATAAAATTTCTTAACGAAATTTAACCGACACAAAGCTAATAGTCGTGCTTAACAGTGAAACGTGGTGAGTAAAAGAAAGAAGACCATTCTACCCACCATTAAGTAACAGCTTTTTCTAGTAGTCCTAACCGCTATAACTGGGAAAATAAAATAAAATTAGAAATAAAAATGGGAAACGAGGAGACAAGAATAAGGAAAAATATTGTCACCATCATCGCCATCATATCATCATCATGTGTAGAGGACATACATACACCCCATATATGTACAGAGGTGTGTATTTATACATATAAATACAAGTATATATATGGATGTGTATGTATAGATTGCACATCCAAAAGCCTAGGGGCCAGGCATCACGGTGTATACCTGTAATCCCAGCATTTGGGAGGCTGAGGCAGGAAGATCGCTATGAGTTCAAGACTGGGCTACATAGTGAGTTCCAGGTCAGTCTCAACTACATAGTGAGACCCTGTCTCAAAAAACAAACAAACAAAAGCCTAGGGATTTATTGAAAATTTACCAGAAACTATAATACAGCTCAGCCAGATGAATAGTGACAAAACAAACTGTTTATTTTTCTAGCAGATTGTTATTGATATGCTTAAAATTTGAGAAAAATGTGACATTTGTAATGCATTAGGAGAGATATACCAAGTTTCTGGATGGAAATAAATATATAATAACATCTTGGATTAAAAGAAAACAGCAAAAAGATCAACAGAAATGAATTCAGAAACAGGTTTGGGGATGCAGCTCAGTAGTAGGGCATTTGCCAAGCCTGTACAAAGCTCTGAGTTTGATGCCCAGCCCCACAAAAGAACATCAGAAGTGGGACCATTGCTCAGGCTGGGGATTTAGCTCAGTGGCACCACCACCTGCCTCACAAGTGCAAGGACCTGAGTTCAATCCCTAGTACCAAAAAAAAAAAAAAAAAAAAAAAAAAAAAAAGAAAAGAAAACGAAAGAAAGAAAGGAAGGAAGGAAGGAATGGGACTATCACAAAAGGTCAGACTCTCCAACCTGTGCTTGCCCCTGGACTGCACTGGATGGGGTTAGGGCAGCATCTAGAGGGGGGACCTCCAGGGACAGCACCTGAGATCCAGCCCCCTTGGATGGGGTTAGGGCAGCATCTAGAGGGGGGACCTCCAGGGACAGCACCTGAGATCTCCAGCCCCCAAGCGTGGGCTCGAAAGGAGAGAACCATCCCCACCAACGCACACACAAAGGAAGGGAGGTCTTCGTAGGGAAGGGAATGGACCGCAACAAAAAAAGAATGCTAAGGACAAAGGTCTGACAGCAGAAGCTGGTGGTACCCTGGCCCTTGCTGCTGCGGAGCCTGCACACTTAACTTCCAGAGGCCAGGAGTGCTGTCCCTTCTCCAGAGCGCTATCTGGGTACAGGATCCTGGTCTGCCACAAGCGCAGCAGGCCTGAGTGCTAGAGCAGCTCTCAAGTGGTGACTGACAAAAGTTGGTGGTGGCCAGGGATTTAGCTCAGGGGCACCTCGCCTGCCTTGAAAGCGCAAGGTCCTGAGTTCAATCCCTGGTACCAAAAAAAAAAAAAAAAGCTGGCACACACCTGGCCTCTCAGCTGGGCCACTTCTCAGCCAGGGGTTCCCCGGGGGGACTGTGCTTCACCTGCTCGCAGACGGAACTCTCTGATGCTGTGCTCTTCCTTTCCCTGCCTCACCTCCCCACACCCAGCAGATTTTGGGACCACCTCCAGAGTAAGCTACTGACATGAGGTCATATTCCAAAACTGCTTTAAATTTTAGACTGTGCTAAAGGAAGCATTTCAAATACACCGTTGGTCCATGGCTCTGGCTCAAACCTGCTATCTTCCCAGTTTCACACCTCCAGAGTTTCCCCTCGGCGGTGGCGCCCCAAAGCCCTGGGGGACAGCCCGGAGAGGGATCGAGGCTCACCTGCTTCTGCTCCTCTCCCAAACTGTCCCACATGGAGGCCACGATTTTGGAAACATCTCCGAAGGTGGCGCTGGGGTTCTGCCCCTTGATGGCAGCCTGAGTGTCTCTGAAGAAGAGTGCATAGGCCGACACGGGCTTCTGTGGTTCGTTGGGGTCCTTCTTCTTCTTCTTCTTCGGGTTCTTGGCCTTTTTTCCTGGGTCGGCTGAGGGTCTCTTCTCTCCCGAGATCTGCCCAAGTAAGAGAAGTCAGAAAACCAGAAGCCCAGCCTGGGGCCCAGCTGGGCTTTCTTCAGGAGTCCCACCACGGCCTGGCAAGCCCTGCTCACAGCCAGGTGGTGACACGGGTGACCCATCTGGGCTCCCACTCTGCACCGTAGGCCAACACTCACTTGGTGGGCGACAGTGAGTAGAGCGATGGGTAGATGGAGACAGACACGTTGACACACAGACACACACACAGACCCACGTGAACAGGCAGAAGCAGAGACACACAGGGACAGAAAGATACACACATCCTGCTGAGGAGGCCTGGGTATGTAGCTCCCTGAAGAGGATCTGCGTGAGTGTGATACTGACTCAGGAGGAAAAGTCTTTACAGTTCCTGAAAGACTGCATGATCAAGATCACCACAGAAAACTGGCCAATGTCATCCTATACAGCAATAACACCATCACCTTTGGGACTTTTAATCTTTTCTGCTGGGTCTGCAGAAAATCAGTTGTAGGTCTATCACATTTTAATTTTTTCAACTTTTTTTTTCTTCTGCTTTTTCCTTTAGTTTTTTTTTTCCAAGTTAGCATCTCCCTTCACCGAGCTGTAAAAGCCTCTTGTCAACAACGAATGTGTCCAAGGCTGATTCAGAGCAGCAGGTGCTCCTCCCTGGGTCTGGAGGGCTGTGCTTGGGTGTGACGTTGTAAGAAGGTATGGCCCCTTGGCTCCTATTTTTAAGTTCTGGCTGTATATTTTTTAACTGTCCTCCCCTGGTGATCACAAATCATCGCCAAAGGTTGTCCTTGATTATGGAAGCTCTATCTCCTCCACTATGTGTAAGCAGCATGGTGAGGCCTTGGCAAAGAAAGGCTGAATGTCTCTTACAATCAGTGGGGAGGATGGCACATCGGGCATTGCACACGGGTAAGGGCACATATACCAGACTGCAACTGCAGCCACCTGGGTTTGAATCCTGGCTGTGAGACACTGGATATGTTACTTAGCCTCCATGCCTCAGTTTCCCCATTTGCTAAATGGAGGTTATAACAATGCTTAACATGTACGATTGCTAAAAGAACTACATGGATGAATGCTTGTTATGAACTTCGAATAGAGTCTGGGCCACATGAACTATTTTGGATGTGTTTGTTAAAAAATAAAATAAGACCAAACCCTGCCTGGCAGGCCAATTTATCCTGGGTAAGCCCAAACCATCATTCGGAGGAAAAACACATCTCCCCTGTCCAGAAGTTCCAGGTTTCCTGGCACAGGTACCATGGCTATGTCACAGGCCTCTGCCTGGCCTCCGCATACACAGATTTGAAGGCCTTGACAGATGCCAGCTCAAGTCCAGCGTCCCAGGCCCCATCCGTGCTATCTGCTGACCAGCCGCTTGTTTCACCTGCTGATTCTCTTCCTCCGTGTTTTCCAGCAAAGGGCAGAGGTGCCTTTCTAGGCTTTTCCAGAGCGAGGTGATGACCCTGTCCCCACAGGCCCAGCCCCTCCAGACTAGATGGCATTGCCTCTCCATCCCACATACCTTGAAATGGGCTTCCGAGTCCTCCTCCTGAGTCGAACTGGAGGGTGAGGGGGTAGCGGATTTGCTCCCTGGGGGTGACGGGGAGCTGTGGGCAATGCCACTTCGGATCCCCATCTGGGAGATGAGCTGGGATTGGCTGAGGGCACTCATGTGGCTGGCCAGCATCGCTGGGCGTCCCAACAGGGGCCCTGGCCGACCCGAGTCGTAGGCAGCAACCTCTGAGTGAACCATCTCCTGGATCTAAGAGAGGACAGGACAGAGTGTTAACTTTAGAAGGACCCCAAGGAGGGCCTACTGACAACAAGTGGCAGGTGGCTCCCTGCTGGATTGTGGCTCCTGGGGAGTCCCCGATGAGTGGAGTCTCCATTTCTCTGTGATGGCTGCATTATTTGCTAGCCCTTGCCAGGGAGCTCAGCCTAGCTGTGAACAGAGCATCTTCCTGTGTCCCGGCTGGAACGCATCTCTGCGGCCACTCACTATGCAACATCATAGCAAAGGTCACGGATGCTGGAGGCAAACTACATTGCTTTTCAGTACTGGGAACCGAACTCAGAACCTTTTGCTTTGCCAGGCAGGCGTGGTGCCACTGAACTATATTCTCAGCCCTCAACTACATTTTGAATCCTGGTCCTGCCCTTTACCAGCTGGGTGACTTTGTCTAAGTTACCTAACGTTGCTGCGCCTCAGTTTATTTATCTGTAACATGTGGATGTCATCAAATCTACCTTCTAAAGGCTAAGGATCAAATGTACCTGACATACAGAAAGCCCTAGACTGTATTAGCATTTGTTAAATACATTGAATAAATAAATCTTTTTATAAAGTTTAGTACTTTTAGGTCAGTAATTTTCTCTATTCCCCATTATTTTTTCTAACTGGCTATTTTTGGAATACAGTAAGAAAGCTACTGCTTTTACACATAAACATTTCTCATACACACAATTTCTCACACACAATTCAGCAAGGCTTACTAATTTTCATACTCTTATAATGACTTTTATTTCCTCTGCATCTGTGGCTATTTCCCCTCTTTAATTTATAATGTTACATGTCTACATTTTCTTCTCACTTTTTGTTAACTTGGCAAGCCAATGGGCTTTCAATTTCATGTATGTTGTTTCTTTTCTCATCCAAAGAATCAGATCTCTAACCTTTCTGCTTCTGTTTTCTAATTCTTAATATGTATTTTATGTTTATTAATCTCTCCCTCTGCTTTTTTTTTTTTTTCTTGGAGACAGGGTCTCACTATGTAGTTGAGACTCACCTGGAACTCACTATAGAGCCCAGGCTGGTCTCAAACTCACAGAGATCCTCTTGCCTCAGCCTCCCAAGTGCTGGGATTACAGGTGTGTGCCACCACACCCAGCTTCCCTCTGCTTTTTAATAATTTATTGTTGTTCTTTCCCCCTCATTTTTTTTTTATGGTACCAGGGATTGAACGCAGGACTTTGCGCTTGTCAGGTAGGCATGGTAGCACTGAGCTACATCCCCAGCCCTTCTCCCTCAATTTTGAGTCATATTTTATTTTGGTTTTTTTTCCCAGTACCAGGGATCAAACTCATGACCTTGTGCTTGTGAGGTATGCACGGCACCACTGAGCTAAATCCCCAGCCCATGAGTTATATTTTAAATTCATTTATTTTCCTCTTTTATTTTTGGTAATAAGTTTCAGGCCATGAATTTTTCTCTGAGAATGACTTCAGCATTTCTCATCCACTTCGTTATTTAACATTTTGGTATTGTTCTTTTTTATGCTCAGCTATTTCCTTTTTAATTTTTTTCTTTCTCCAAGAGTTATTTAAGAATTCTGGAATTTCTAAGTAGTTAATTGTAGTTTTGTTTCTGTTTTCTTTACTTCTAATTTTTATTAACAAAAATGATCAAAGAACGCGGAATGTACTATTTGTACTTTTGAGAATTTGTTAAGATTTTCTTTGGGACCCAAGTGTAGTTAAATCCTATACATGTTCACAGGACTTACAGGCAAAGGGAAGGCTGTCCTGACAGATTAATATAGCAGTATACCATGTTTCTGGTCATCAATGGTTATATTATTTACATTCCTGTCTTAATTTTGGTTCCTTAATCAGACACCAGCTTGTTTAGGTTACCCCAACTTTTCTGCTTCCATGAAATTCTCCTTTTAACTCTTAAAGATTTTGTCTTGAGAACTTGATGTTAGGTTTTTTTAAATTGCAAACAGAAGCCGAGTCATTCTATCTTCATCAGAGATTGAGCTTTTTATTAGTATAACATGTCTCCTTTTTTGGCCTTATTTTACCAAGTGAATTCAGTGGAGTGTGGTGTTAATATTGCTGCCTTTGCCTATATCTTTCTTTATATTTGCCCGGCATGTCTTTACTTCCGAGAAACTGTCATTTTTGCATCTCTCAGTTTTTATTTGCTAGAGATATCTTTGTCAAATGCCAGTGTTTGTGTTATGACTAGCTTAATAAAAAGAACTCAGATGTTTCATTTTTTTTTCTTTATGCCCTGGAACAGTATACATAACACATACATCATATTTTCCTTAGAGAAATGTCAGCGTTTAGGCAGAAAACCATCTGAGGTCATTTTAACAATATCTTCCATGACTTACATGTCTATTTTAGTTTCCAAAAAAATTATCCATCTCATCTACATTTTTAAAATATCGCTGGGGCTAAAACCCAGGGCTTTGTACATGGTCAGCAGATGCCTTGTTGCAGCTTGTGTCTCTAGATGTCCCCAAAGCCTCATGTGGTCATAGGTGGGTCTTTTCAGAGGTGACTGGATTTAGGGTGTGTGAGGCTGGGAGTAAGAGTGTGATGCTGGGATGGATTCACAGTGTAATGAGAAGATTAAGGGTGCCCCTCCTTGGGCGTGAGTACTACCTGCCCTAAGGACGGGTAGTCTGGATAGAACAAAAGGGACACAAAGAGGGCTGCTGTTGTTGCTGCTTGTCACTTGCTGCCTCTTCACTGCTTCACTGCTTTGCTGCCTTCTGCCTGCCATGAACTGTTTCTCCTCTGCAATGCCCCTCTGCAGTGCCACCCTGCCTTAAAGCCAGATAACCATGAACCAAAACCTCTACAGATTATGAGCTACAATAAACCTTTCCTCCTTTAACTTTGGGTGGTAGGTATTTTGTCTCAGCAACTAGGGAAAAGTAACTAAGACAACCATTGAACCACATATCCCAGCTCTTCACCCAGATTTTAACACCTATAACTGTGTCTTTTTAATTCTATGGTTTTGTAGTTAAATCCCCATTCAAAATTGTACTATTGTGAATGCCTATCACTTTGTAAATTTTTTCTTTTCAAAAGTTTAAATGTTTCACCTATCAAAAGGACTAAAACTTATATTTTTTAAAAAATCAGTTCAACAACTTGGAAGGCCCACCTGGAATCCAGGGGGTAGGGCCAGGGATGCTGTTAAACATCCTACTGCGTGCCCCTGCCCACAAAGGAAGAATCTGGAACTCCTGGATATCAACAGTGCTGAAGTTTAGAAGTTATGCTCTCCAACAGAGATTCTTCCCCCAAGGAGAATTTTAACTCCATCATATAAATATTTTTAAAATATTCTACAGTGCAAGATTTCACTTTCTTTCTTTCTTTTTTTTTACTCTAAAGTTATTTGGAAGAGTGTTTTTATTTATTGCATCATTTTGTTATTGTGGTACAGAGACATGAATCCTAGACTTTTATCTTTTTGGAATATATTGAAGCTTCCATTATGACTTAAGATATGACCAATTTTTATAAATGTTGCATGTATATCTGAAATAATGTTTACTCTGTCACATACGAGTTTCTCTATATATCTACTCAGTATACTGTTTTGACTACTTGATCTGTAAAATCTTATGAAAACAGAGCTAAAGCCTGCCATCTCTGTTGTGCTTATCAGTTTCTCTACAGAATTCAAGCAGGCTTTCTTTATATATATATTGATGGGAAGTTATTCATCCCTTAAATGGCCCAGAATGCTGTTTATGACTTCCCTTGTTCATAAAAAATAAGCATTTTTGCCTCAATTAATGTTTCTGTCTTAAATCCTACTTTATTTGCTGTCATTATCATTTTTCCCAATGGTTTGTTTTTGTCCTGCATCAATTTAAGTGTGTAGCTTGCAAACAACATATACGTAAATGTCACTTTCTATACCCATTCTTAATATGTCATGCTATATGTATTTCATCATTATATTAATCACAAAGAGGCCAAAAAAAAAAAAAAACCTCACTTAAAGTGTATTGTTTTAAAGGTGGGGGGAGATTTTAAGATCTATTCTCAAACATTTTTCTTTCCACCCTAGCATGTAAAGTCTTTTCTTTCCTTAGGTCTTTTGTTTATTTAAGATTGGTCTTTGCTATGTAGATAAGGCTGATCTCCAACTCTCCATCCTCCTGCTTTAGTCTCTGAGAGCTGCCATTACAGGTGAGCACCACTGTGCCTGGTTTAAGGTGATTTTTGTTGTTTTTGTGGTACCGGGGATTGAACCCAGTGCCTCACACATGCTAGGCAAGTACTCTCCCACTGAGCTATATCCCAGTCCTTTTTATTTTACTTTGAGACAGAGTCTCCCTAATCTGCCCAGGATGGCATCAAATCTGTGATCTTCCCGAGTCGCTGGGATCACAACTATGGGCCGCTATAAGCAGCTCCTTCCTTAACCAAGAAACAGACATTATTTCCTCAAGCACAAACTAGCCTCGGGGCTCTGTGCTACAGCTTGTTTATTTTTATCTCCAGTTGCCTACTTCAGAATTCTTCAACCAGGTATTCCTGACTCAGTCATTTAATAACTGGTCAACATTTCATAACGGCAGACTTTAAAATTTTTACAAATCTGCTAAGGGTGAAATGCTCTCCAAATCCTTTTAATTTGCTCTGTTCTGATTACTAAAGAAGCTGAATGTCTTTTCATAGGTTTACTGGGACATCTGGGTTTCTTCTTCTACTTCTGTTGGGAGTGTAAGCTAGCAGAGCTTAACACGTTAGCAAACAATCTGCCAATGCCTAGGACAATGAAGCCGCACACATCCTATACCCTAACAGTCGTACTCTGAGACATTTACTATAAAGAGCCTTCCACATGTACAAGAAGTCATATATGTGAAAGACTCTGAAATGGGCGAAGTGTCCTTCTGCTGGGTGTTATCTACTGGCTCTCAGGGTTATACGGTGCTTTGTCTTTCAGTGGCTATTTAACAACTTTGTGAGTTGCTGAAAAATGATATTAATGGAACTGAT